TTTACTTTATTTTATTTTGCACTATCGAGTAAAGTTTGTGTTTTTTTATGTTATTAGGAGAGAAACTTTCGTGTACTAATTTCTCCTGTTCGAACACACTTCTGATAAGTTTTCCAAATCATTAAGGCGCATTAAGTGCAAGTAGATGCAATCTAGCAGCCGCGACATCGCCGTAGATCGTCGTCTTGTCCCTCATCGGTTCCTAGAGTCTCTTCTAATCAGAATCAAATTATGTTCCTCCGTAAATCTTCAGAAAACCTCATTTTACAACCGCGCTTACGCGGCGTTAAATGCTTTTCTCGTTAAAGTAAGAATATTCTTTCTCAAAACTTTTTTTCTCGCTTCGTCTTTTGCCTTTATTTCTCTCTTTCTCATCTTATTGTTAGCTTCTTCAATTTTTATTTTTAATCTTATTCGCTAACAACGCCATTACGTAAGTAGAGATTCAAGAGAACTTTCACAAATGTTATCTAAAGTGTGTCTCATAGCAACACATTATTTCGAGAGTCCGTGTTTCCAGATTTAGTTATTTTATTTTATTTTCATCGGAAAATTGGCAGTAAATGCGTTATGTCGTTTATTACGCGCAATTTGAATTTCCTGAATCAGAACAGGGAGGTGGGGAAGAAACATCCGGAACTTGTAATTTCAATAATTTACCGGAATAATAAATGATCGACGAGTTCATCGTGTTCACCGAGTTACGCAAACACACATTCTATCGACAAATATGATCGATCTTGATTGAAATGAAAAGGTCAAGACCAATTTATGTATGAAAACATATATAAAGTTCGCAATAACCTTTCTATTTTTCATCTTTCATGTTCGGATTTTTCACATCAGAAAATTGTATCAGGAACTTTAGAACTCTCTAACGCTGGAGTCAGAACTCTGTCAGTTATATTGATATTTTGGGTTTTTAACTTTTTATTCTTTGCAAAGATCAGAAATCATCTTCATGCTGATTAATATACTAGTAACAACCGATGTCATTGATATTAATAGCTTTCCACCACTAACTAGATGTACTTGTCTATTAACTCGCAATATCGCGAGTCACGTTTTCCATAAGACGAATCGATATCGTAACAGAGAGAAGTCTTATTCGCGGTGAATACGTATTTTTACATCGTCCGAAGTTTAATTAATTGGAAAGTGGAAATCGATGTGAAAGACAAGTTTTATCTAATTAAAGAAAAAAATTAATTGACGTTAATACACGAAATACAAGAAATTTCTGCGAGCGAACGAGCGAATACGCTGATGTTCGTCGATTATAAGTCTTTCAATTCACACGAATTCTCTGCGCTGCTTTATATCTCTCGTTCGGCTTTGAATAAAGAATAAAGCCGGTCGTCGAACCTGACGTCGAACGTGACTCATTCATCTCGTTGATCGTCGCAAAGAAACGCGATTCTGTGCGAGACCCATTCCTGACCTGGCCGTGAATATATTTACGAGACGCTCTTAATAAGGCGCGGAATTTCATGCGGCCGCGTGTCGCGCCGATAACGATTAAATTATTAACATTCTCGATAAGAATTTGAAGTACTTCACTGTACGTTGATCCACTTGTGGATGTGATTCTGCTCATAGATAATTTTTTATAACACCCTGTAATTGTATAGATCTTATATCTTTATCAGGTAATTATATCAGAACATACAACAGAATTACGATAGGAAGATTTATTTATCTGTTATTGTGCAAGATTTTATTATGTTATTCCAATATTTTTAAAATTTGGTTTTATATTAGACATCCGAAAATTATAGCTATTTCTTTTATTTATTTTTGCCTGAAGTGATTTCATAAAAATATAGTCGAATATTCTATTTTTAATTTTATTAAAATACTAAATATACATTTGCGCTTAATTATTTTACATTGTGAAAAGCGGAACTTTGCAGCTTTTAAAAGTGATTACCTCTCTTCCCAGTGTAATTAATTAAATGTTATTTATAACTGCTTGTAATCTCAGTCTTTCATTTTGAGCTTTAAGCTCGCAGTTGCGTGTTTAGTCTTTACACGATATGCTAATTTCAGTGCAATTCGTTCTGATGCTTGCACTGCAACAGGCATGTTGCAACTTCGGCAATTGCGATAATAATACACACTGCGCAATCCTCGACGGAGGCGTAATCTACAATCTTATTTATACCTCCTTTGTTTTCATTTCGAAATTTTTGGTTGTGATTCTATTAGCAGAATGATATATCTCTGTTAAAAAATTAGGAGACTAATTACATTGTATCCTAACATATAATAACGAAAATAGATGCACGGTAGAATTTTAATTTTGACTGATGTTTGTGTTATAATAATAGATAATTTAATTAAATGTAAAAATTGCGAATACTTTGTCGAGCCAAGTTTTCTAATTAATTGCAATAATTAATCTCGATAATAGATTAATTTATATCGTTAAATAGTAATCAAATAATAATCGTCACTTGGAATTCAGAATAAATGGATGATACTTCATGAATATCTTTCGCAAATATCAAATGATTATTTCCGACACAATGGATTATTCGTTGGAAAAAAAATGTATAATAAATGTAATGGCAGCTCGTAAAAACGTGAAAATCTCGTAAATCGTTTTTATATCTAGCACACCCTTTGTATTTATTATTATCACGAAGATAGCTTTTTCAGTGCAAGTGTCGGCTTTTTTACGGAGCGACACATATAAAATCTTGGTCGAAGAAGATCAGCTTTTTTATCGCGATATTGGTTATTGACAAATAAAAACGTACCCCACACATTGTATTATCCTCGAAGCTGCATTTTCTAGCAATTTGCTTTTTCGCTAACAATTTAAAGATTACCGATATCGCAATACGATAATCATCGTTATTCTCAATTTTATTTCTGGTCCATTTGTTCGCAGAAAGAGCTATTTCCGGAATACATTTCGTATATTCACATAACGTAAAATTGTTTGAGACAAAATAACTGGAAGATTAACGCGCGAGTAATCGTTTACCGCTGTGCAACATAAATACACGTGACATCGTATCATTAATCTTTGTACTGATATCAAATTATAATACCGAACGCTCTTCACGAAAAGCTATTCTTTATAGAATATATTATTATTCCTCGTCGCGCGCATTCTCTCGACGTGTGTTTGACTGCGGAATGCATGTGAGCGTTACTAAAATGCAAGTGCTCCGCGCGCGTCGTTGTCTCGCAACGACGCTATTAATTTAACACGCTCTCTCAATTAAATTTTGCTACAATTTTTTTTAATTATCAGATATATTTTTGTATTGTAAATGATTGCGCTATATTTTTTTTCTAGTTACTTTTATTAACATTTCCGAATAAAAAAAAATCGCAATTACCAGCATGGAGCTTTATCGATACTTCTAATGAAATTTATTAGATGAATAATTTAATGAATATCGAAACCGATCTTGTTATAACATTATGACATTTTGACAAGCTCGTTCCAGAAGCTCGTTATGTCTTCCTTTGATATTCTGGAAACAATCGGCAATTCAAGCCGGAATAAGAATCAATATTAATCTTCGGATGGCTTCCTAATGAGAACTCAAATCGCAGAAATACGGTTCCGATGAATTCAGATTAAATTATTGTCGTGAGATAACTTAACATTTCTCTAACAATTATCTAGAACAGATTTCCTGGGAAATTTCCATCTGGAGTATAAAAGTAGGAAAAAAACAAGTATAGCGCAAAAGAAAAAAAGAAACGCTTTCAAAGAGCTCCTTTTGCGTATTCAAGGATTTTTTTTTTCGGACAAACTTCAAGCTTAATATCTTTTCATACATACCCGTTTAATTAAATGCCACATCCGTTTCCGACGCATCTCCGTGTTCCGAGCGCAGAAACGCAGGTGGCTCGCAGCGTTTAAGATGCACCGCACTTTCTCTCGTCTGTCGGATCAGCCAAGGACGTCGGACGCCGTTTTTCATTCCGCCGGCTTCCTGTCTGTCTCGCACCTACCTTATTATAGGCTTGTGAACGATCGTTGGAAAACAGGGAATTAATGAAGTTAGCGTGTTACGCTGCTCCAGTTGACGATGATTCGACCCCGCTCTTCCGTCCCGTTGCATCCGCCCGATGTGTTATCGGTGCAACGATGTACACACGCTCGCATAGATTACTGGGATTATGCTCGATTGCTCGCGTTCATGAGTGTTATCAATTGAATCGATGGGAATTTTACTCACATACGAGTTATCGATGAAAGTGTAATTGCAAATCACGATGAACAAGAGAACTTGTATGTAACGAAAGAACGATTGCGCGTAGGCTCGCGCGAAAGCAGGTGTGTGGTGAAAAAAAATCGAGATCCCCAACCGCACACTTCGACGCTGAATTTTGCGCTTTACGTATTTTATGCTTTTTTTTACTGCCTACACTTGTAATTTCTTGTTTACAACTAAAGCTATTTTTAACAGTTAACGCTGAGACGTATTTGTATATCGTTAAGATTGCATAAATTATATCCACATGTTTCTGCCGATGTTAGTCCTCGATCTACTTCAGAGAAATTATCATAAAAAATAAAACTCTAAACTTACTTTTTTAATAATTTGCTTCTATTTTTTTGTATCTTGAAGTTAAATATAAGTTAAAGAAAGTCTAATATTTTAGTATTTTATTTGGTATTAAAGTGTATTTTTATGATGTAACATTTTTTTTATTTTTTATGAGAACGTCTTATTTTTTATGCATTAGATACTGATTTATCGCGTTATGTATGCGAATTAAAAAAAAAAAACCAAATATATCACGACAACGATGATAACATGTAATATGTTAAATGATCATATAAAATTACATATGCTATTAGATCTTTTCATGACTAATTATATATATTTACATCTGACTAATTATACCATTTTTTCTCGGAGATGATATATCTGCACTTCGCAAAATATAAATGCAATTTATATGTGATAGAATTTAACGCGCGTTTATACATACATGACACGTAATCGAAATGTTTTACTGTGCTTCAGATTATCGGAAAGGAGTGGGTACATCCACGACGGTTTCGGCAATTACTCGGCGGACGTGAAATGTTCATGGTTGATCGAGGGCCCATTGAACACCAAGATACGGATGCATGTGGAACAGTTCGCGACGGAATGCGGCTGGGACCACTTGTATATCTACGACGGTGATAGCGTCGAGGCGCCGTTGCTGGCCGTTTTCTCCGGCCTGATGCACAAGGAGGGCTATCACATACGCCGCGTGCCGGAAGTGATAGCACGATCCGGCAGCGCATTGCTTCACTTTTATTCCGACGTCGCGTACAACATGAGCGGCTTCAACATTACGTATAAAATCAACGCTTGTCCGAGCAGGTGAGCTGATCACATGATAAAGTTGGCTTTCTTTCTCGAACAATACGTACTTATAATGGCATTTCGTTGACGTTACAAGAAAACTTTGTGTATTTCAAATTGTCTTATATAATTTTGTCTTTATGTATGTATAATATTATTTGCAGTTATTTATATATAATTTTGCATTAAATTTAAACGGTATTTTGTTCTGTAGAAAAGTACAAATAATCATAATACAACGCTTTGAGCTATAAAGCCAAATGCTAGTTGTTTGTGCGATCCTATCTTCCACGTTTACATTATATCTTTATAGACGTTTCAGTCGTTTCTTTAGATCTTTTTCAATGTGATTACAATTTACTTTATGATATTTACCATTGTATTATCGCTAATATTGTTGTGCTCATAATATGATCGAAATGTTTGTGAACTCATAGCTTTATAGAAACTTATATTTATTAAAACATTTAGGTCTTATAAAATTTAATCTATAATGCATTAAACACGGTTAAGACTTCTGTCGCCAAAATTGTCCTCGCGAGATAGAAAGGAATTGGAGCGGAACATTTTGCAGAATTATCTTCTATATTTACGCTGCAAGCTGATACGTTACATCGACTGACTTTCAAAAGTGAATAATCGTTACGACTGTATTATCAGACAATGGCTTTACTGCTAAAAACCACCGTGTGTATGTGTGTGTGTGTGTGTATGGGTGGCTTCCAGCAAGTGAAGTTACAGTCTGGCACGTGCAGGGTGATTTACGTCAGCCAAGGGATTTGGAACGATATTTTATTCAAGCTAAATATAAATTATATGTATTTCGTGATCGGCGCATCGAATCAAATGGCAATGTTCCACTTTACTTCTTTTTTCTCTTACGAGGAAAATTTTTGCAACGAAATTATCAAAGCAACGCACTTTTACACTTTCGCTTGAGTCAATTACTGTTTAAATTTGATACGAAATCTATTTTAATGCAATTAGTACCGAACAATTGAGATACGTTTAGTCGACGGAGCGAATAATCAAATGGCAGTGTAAAGTGCATCCTATCGCGAACGGGAGACCGCGGCCTTGCGAGATGGACAAGGTGGCGGTCAACCCGGATAGCGCGTAATAGAGCGCCGAGATTACACGGAATGGCAACCGCCGATAACTTGTAATTGGGTCGCTCCCGGCTTAGGAACTTTATCGAGCTTCCACCGCGAGTCGGAAATACGCGTAACCCTATCTATGTGTCACGTTTGATAATGTTACTTGCGGTCACAAGATGATCCAATGCTTGGTCTTTGATGCAAGAACCGTTGACGTTCGCTAACGTTACTCGCGATCGGTGACGATCCGGTGGCGATTAGTCCGTGATGCGAAAAGTCGAGTCTGCGTAAGAGAGCGAGCAATTTTTAGAATATACGCGATAGCGCCGGCGTTTTGACGTTTTAATTTTTGATGACACGAAGAAAGATAGATAATTTCTTTCTGCCTCGAAATTCCCCGGTAATTTATCTTCCCGATAATTTTACTTAATATGTCACCCAAGAAAATGGTGATTCAATTTCGTTAAAGAGTTAATTATTCATTAATTTGCATGTTTTGCAGCGTTGTTTCGCATATCTAATTTACATTCTTCAAGTATTGAAGCGCAAGCAGAGCGCGTCGACAACCCTCGTTTTTCAATAAAAGATTATCGATACAGATAAAGATTTATTTTGCGATTGAGTAAATAACGAAAGTATGTATTTGAATATGGACGGCGTTAGATTGTTGCGATGGCATCGGATCGCTCGAAACCAAAGATTGATTTAACGTATCTCGTGTATGCATGTTGCTGTTTGCAGGTATTCCCATATGGACTGCTCCGGCCACGGTGTGTGTATCGAGGGCACATGCACCTGTGATGCCATGTGGACCGGCGAGGCCTGCGATGTGCAGGTATGCCCAAACAATTGCTCGTTCCATCATGGACAGGGCGAGTGTGATCGCGAGAGTCATCACTGCCGCTGTTTTCACGGCTACAAAGGTAAAGAGATGCCGAGGAAACTGTGACGCTTCGCGTGATGTGTAATTGATGGTGAAATGTCAATTTAAAGCAGATATGTATTTAGTTACGTAAAAATAATATAAAATTAATTACCACATGTTCACTCGGTGACTATAAAAAAATTGGATGCATTAAAGACCTGTGAATTGATATAATAATCGTATAATAATTACATAATATTAATTACCGGAATGATTATTGGATTAGAAATCTAATATTAGAATAATAACATCTTTAATAGATATCACGCGATTGATTGACATCATATCTAACGTTCAAGTTTAATGTTACTACTATATATGTATCTGTAATCGTCATAATCATAATAATATAACGAGCTTTAATGTAACGAGCGTCGCGTGACTGAAGATAAATAGAATGTATTTGCGATCAGAAATAAGATCGACGATAATTTGCTATAAATCCAACTTCTCGCATAAAATCTGTCGCTTTATCAATTTTTTATTTTTTAATAAATTCTTATTTAATAAAGGAAATAAATATATGTGCGATTAGATTTATTAAATTTATTTATTTAATTAATTTTATATTAAAATACGTACATGTAAAAAGTGAAAGAAACAAATCAAAGGAGATATTTATAATAATAATTATAAATAAAATAAAACACAAGATGAAGAAATCCATTTGTGCATTGCGTAGGAGCGGATTGCAGCCAAAAAGGCGACCGTGGATTTTGGGAGAGCATCACGTACAAGGATTTACCGCCGGATGGCTCGGCCAGTCACTGCTCCATCATTTGGAAGGACTCGTTATACGTGGTTGGCGGCGAGAGCTTCCATCGTGCCAAGATGATATATGTGTACGATTATAATGGTAACGTCTGGGAGACGCCCCATGTTCAGGGCCGTGTGCCACTGCCGCGTTACGCGCACTCGTGCGTGTTGTTCGGCGACAAGATATTCATGTACGGCGGCGTCGTGCATAACTCCACTGTAACTAACGAGATCTGGGCGTTCGACGTATCTTCCAAGGTCTGGGAAAACGTTACTGTGCATGATGACTGTCACAACAGAACGATATGCGGCCCACTGAAGGTGCGTCGAAGAATATAATAAGAATATGATATAAGAAATATATAAAAATAAGAATATAGTATTACTTGTCGTAATTAACATTGATCTGTCAATCGCATATTTAGTTGAGATTTTATTATTTACTTGAGATCTGATCTTTCTGATTTTTTTCAATGTCTAACTGGATCTCGTAGTAAACGAGACTTTCGATTATCTTAATCCTTCGTTCTTACAGGTAGCCGGACACACCGCGACCCTCGTGCAAAGTCACGGCAAAAAGGAGAAGATGGTTGTGATATTCGGCTATTCGCCGCGATATGGCTACTTAAACACCGTCCAGGAATACTATTTAGGTACGCGCGAATGGCAGATCGCCCAAACGACCGGCTTCCCGGTGAAGGGCGGTTACGGTCACAGTTCTGCTTACGATCCTCTCACGAATCTCATTTATGTGTACGGTGGATACGTGTCGGAGTCGCAGAGCTCGCAAGTTTTAAGCAGCATGCTGTACTCGTATCATCCCAATTTTTGCGAATGGCGACTGCTCACGTCGGCGCCATCGGCACGATTCTTTCACACCGCCGTCTTTGTCTCGGGCGGACTGATGCTGGTGTTCGGCGGCAATATACACAATGACACGCAGCAGTCGCACGGCGCGCGATGCTATTCCGCCGACACTTTAGGCTACGATGTCACGTGCGATACGTGGCATCATTACAGCATGCCCAGAGACATGAGCGATCTTCCACGATATGGACATAGCGCGACTGTCTTTGAGAAGTCGATGTACATCTATGGCGGCTTTGACGGCCAAATGCTTTCTGACATGTTGAGGTACGATTCAAAATGACATTAAGACATGACAAAAATCTTTAAACTCAATTGCATCAATTGCTTTTATCCAAATTAACTTTGTTTTAACGCAGAAAATATAAATTTCTGTATTATATTTGTTACAAATTTAACAAACATAAATTTCTATTTTTTTTTGTAGTAAGACAAAGTTAATTTTGATGGAAGAAATTGATATAAAAATATGGACTAAAATTTTATTACTGCGCAGGTATACGCCGGGCAATTGCGAGCATCTGACGACCCAGAATCAGTGTCTGAATGCCAGGATAGGCGTGAAGTGCGTGTGGCACAAACGGGACTCTCGATGTGTGCAGATTACAAAGCTACCGCAGCACGTACTCAATCATATGGAATACAACGAGGACGACAGTATTTACATGAAATGCCTCGACGACACACCGCCGCGTGGTATGACGTCACATGAGGAACTCTGCAAGCTCTTTACCGATTGCGTCGCATGTGTGCAGACTTCGTATAATTGTGTATGGTGTGGCAAGAGTTGTTTACACGAGAAATGCCGGGACAATCCCAGTTCGTTAGGTTCGAGACCCATCGTGCGCCTGTTGGAGTGCGATGCGAACACCGGTGTCGAATGCATGCAGCTACACACTTGCCACGCTTGCTCCAGCAATTCGCGCTGCATTTGGTCGTGGTCCAACGGGCCCGATCGTTGCAAGCCGCAGTCAAAGATCCGAGACCGAGAGGTGCGTGTGCGTATGATTTTTAATATTTTTTGCCCTATCAGATGAAATATTCACAATTCCAATATTTTTTTTTCAACGTTTCTAATGTCGAATAATTATAATTTCAAAAATATATCTTGAAAGTGAGAATAAAATATTTAACATTGACCGACTTTTTAAGATAATCTTAGCTAGCAAAGATTTAACAGAATGCCGAAGCAGATGATACTTAATCTTAAGAATCTTTAAAACAGATGAACGGCATTCTGAACGGCACGATCCAGGCGCAACGTCTGATTCTGGATCCGTGCCGTCATCCATGCGTGGAATACACATCGTGTCGCAATTGCACGGAATCCGACTGCATCTGGTGTCATAATGAGGCCAAATGCGTGGACAAGAACGCGTATCCGGCCAGCTTTCCGTACGGACAGTGTCGCGAGTGGACAACGATCGACGTTCGGTGTCGCGCCACCGAGAGCGGCAGGGAATGGTGCAGCTTCTATTCGTCGTGCGCTAGCTGCCGAGCGGATCCCGGATGCGGCTGGTGTGACGACGGGTCGGGCACCGGGAAAGGCTTGTGCCTACCCGGCGGAGCTCGCGGTCCCAGCAGCAAGAGCTTGGACAAATGCTCGTTCGATCACTGGTACTTCACGCAATGTCCAAGTAAGCGAGTTTTTTTTTGTCGAGCCTCGTTCCCTTTCCACGAATTTATTATCATCGGTGTTATTAATTTTTTTCATTCTCGCAGCTTGTCAATGCAACGGTCACAGTAAGTGTCTTCCAAACAGCAGCGTGTGCATTCAGCCGTGTGGAAACTTGACTTACGGGCCGCACTGTGATAAGTGTATCCCCGGTTATTATGGCAGTCCACTCAACGGAGCGACATGTCAGCGTACGTAATTTTCTGTTCTGTGTGTCCGCGATCTTAATTGCAGCGGTCACGAGCGAGCGACGGATGATTGAATGACACTTGCAACTATTACAGCTTGCTCCTGCAACAATCAAGGCACGCAATGCACAAGCGAAACGGGCAAATGTTTCTGTACAACTAAAGGCATCATCGGCGATCACTGTGAACGTTGCGACGTATCCGGTCTCTATCAGGGAGATCCTACGAATAAAGGATCCTGCTTTTGTGAGTTAACTGATGGACGTCTTTTATTCTATATTTTATTAACTTTATTTTATTAACTTGTATTAACTAGTTGTAAACTGTCTTATTTCGCGTGTTTGCATTTCAGACGACTTAGCCATCGATTACCAGTTCACGTTCAATCTTAGCAAGAAGGAGGACCGCCACTATCGGGCGATCAATTTCAAGAACGCACCGCCAAAACCCGACGTCGACGCTGAGTTTTCCATCACGTGTTCCGTACTGGCCAAGATGAATGTCACCATTAAGAAAGTAAACAGTCCGGAGAAGGCGCTGTTGTTGGGTGCGAATTGCACGACGATTATGTACAAGCACCGCTTCAGCAAAGCGGATTACAACTTCGGCAACGAAGATAACAATACTCTCACCACGTTCTACGTGTATGTCTACGATTTTCAGCCGCCGCTGTGGATCCAAATCTCGTTCTCCCAGTATTCCAAATTGAACTTGCAACAGTTTTTCATTACATTCTGCACGTGAGTACCATAAACTGGACTTAGGGATAGTTTTTGATCCAAAATAAAGCGAGTTGAAGTTATGTTATGCCTTTATAATGCAGTAAATTTCGCAGAGTAATCTTGAGAGGCAGCAACAGACTTATCGGTCACACGCTTTATTTTTTTTTACAAATTTTCCATATTCTCTCCATCGTGCTGAATCTCAGGCAGTACTTACTTGTAAACTAGAGATTACATGCCACCGCACAGGTGCTTCCTCGCTCTGCTACTGGTGGCCGCCATTCTCTGGAAGATCAAGCAGAAGTATGACATGTATCGACGGAGACAACGGCTCTTCCTAGAGATGGAGCAGATGGCCAGTAGAGCTTTCAGTTCAGTTTTAGTCGAAATCGAGAGACGCGACGTCGATGGCTGGGATGCGGAGCACGGCGATGCCGATTTTACAGATTGTCATAACAAGATAAAAGTAAGCGTCGATCTTAAGAGACCCCTCAATTCATATTCTTAATAACATTTAACTATGAACTCATGAAATTAAACGTTGATTGTCATTAAAGAATTTTATTGTAAAACATTTAATTTTTTCCAGAATTTTTACATATCTCAGAAAAATTATTTATATTTTACAAATAGAATTATAATTTGAATGTAACTTATAAGTGGAATGTAGCTTTTGCTTATGGATTTCTTGCTATACAGGATGCTCCTAGTCCGATCGCATTGGAGCCCTGTTGTGGCAACAGAGCGGCGGTCCTTACCCTGCTAGTCAGATTGCCAACTGGCGGCGAGCCTTACACGCCAGCCGGACAGAGTGCTGGCTTAGCCGTGGCGTCCGCTTTAGTGACGCTAGGCAGTCCGCGCCGACCGTCACAAGAACTGGTGATGAAGGAACCGAAGAAGACGCGAAAGTGTGCCAGCCAGCATCCGGATTCTACCTGCATTTAGCGGTAAACAAGCGGCGAGATCGCGACGGAGTGTAACTACGATGAGCCTTAGAGTTGTTTCTGTGATCTTGCCCACGCTCAGTACGAGAGGACCTTTATCTTCGAACTCCGGCGGAGTGAAGAAGTGCGAAACGATAATCGCATATGAAGACGAAGAATCTAAACGAGAATCTTACTGGTCGACGCGGGATTGATCGGTGTATCGAACATTTTGGATGAATCGAATAATTGGCTGAGCGCTTAAATGCTAGATATAGATGTACGCGCGACTTATCGAGTAAGAGGAAACGCCTTCGGCCGTAGAAACGAATGGATTGTTCCGACTAACTACATCCGTTTCACGGTAAGTTAACACATTCTGCTGACGTGAGCTGCATGAGGTACGTTCATGCGCCGAGAAAGACGATCGATCACTCGGCTGACTTTCGAGTTCTCTTCTTGGATCTCGATTGTATATTGTTGTATATATGAATGATTAGAAGATTTACGTTTTCTCTTGGAAAAAATTACGATGTTGGTCGTGTGGATAAACTGGCCTCATGCATATTCGAAAAGCTTTTATCCGCTGCTGTTTTTTTTTAAATTTTTTATTCATAATTAACGATATAGATTTGTGAACTTAAAACATCTTTAAATATCTTCTAAAAGTTAAGAAGCTTTGAGATAAAAATTTGCTTAAGCTTGCAAGAATTAAATATAACATATCCGTAGTTTATTGTTTCTTAAACGTCAATATGTTAAATCTAATGGAAACAGTTGCTTAGAATCTCAATGTGCGGCGGATAAAAGCTTGTAAATGCCATAAGAGTTATTAAAAAGATTCATTAATGTTACTGAAACGATTGAATTCGAAGAAGTACAACGCTTCGACATAAGCTGTAAATAGGCTGTATTTTTGTCGAACGAAGATACAGATCGTTAATAGTGATATTCAAAAGACATTTGACATTAAAATGACGGACAATTTGAATTAGTGAATATGATACAGAATTCACTATTCATGCATCTGCTCGTAGCGAATATGTATAAGATTCATATTCTAAACCGATCGAAGTGAGTAGAGATAACAATTGCAACCGAAGCAGATTTATAGAAGGTACAAAACGCGTATTCGATCTTATGTGTGTACTTTGCATTAAAATACTGTGCCAAATCAGCATTTCCTTTTCCATAAAAGGCAAATCATTTGTCGCAGCTACCTTTGGTGAATTAGAATCGGTCGAGCGAGTACTTTTACTTAGTTTGTTACCTCTATTCACTGTTGCAACTAAATTTTACCGCGTGATCGAAAATTTGCAGGATCAGGGATCAGCTATTATGTATTTGGAAAAATTTCTGAAATTGGAACAATTCCCATCTTTTGTCTGTTGTTCTATTATTCAGATAAATTCCGAAACGACACTTTCGATACAGCAAATGGATAATTGATTTCAAACAAAATGAATATTAACATTGACGTTTGAACGAAAACTTCAAATAAATATTCAAAATTTTCATACTTTTACAATAATTTGTGAAAAGTAATTTAAAAGAATTTTATCACTAGGACTTTAATTAAATTACTACAATGCCTAATGATAAATGACTATTTTTAATTTTTTTATTGTAATTACGTATATTATCTTGCATTTTTATTTAAGTATTTTTATTTACGAATGAATTTCGTTTCGATTTTAACAAATTCTTAATAGGCCGAATACGCAGATGGAATTGTTATCGGAATCCTATAAGTTACATAATAGCTGCTCAGGATATTAGTTAATGACATAATTAACAAGAAATTTTAAAGAATTTGTCGATCACATGCTTCAGACTTTAGCAAATAAGAGAAAGATAAGACGGTCTTTACAATAAGTATCTTATTTGTGAATTCAATTTCGTTTCATGAAGCAAGTAACGGTACTGATTATTTTGCACGTTGATTGCACGATTGTCTTTCTGAGCATTTAATTGACGCGTTTGTAAAATTTGCGTGTTTTTAACTTTTTTTTAAGAAGTTGCAAATCTTTGCATCTCTTACGTTAATTTTAATATTTTGTACTTGTGTCGGGAAGAGTGATTGAATTATTTATGAATATCGTATACTTCCATTTTTTTATAGTAAATTTGTACTTTTCTTCTCACTGTTCCAAGTACGAGAAAATAACTTACCACGAAGACTTTGAGAATTTTATATACCTTATTAGCAAGAAGTTACAATAGTTATTATATACAGAGAAAGTTTCAGCACTTCAATTCATCATCCGTAAAACGTATTTATATTAAGAATGTAAGCCACCTTTTTCTTCTTGAAACTTTCGTGGTAACATGGAAAAAAAGGGATTTATTACCGTAAGAGACTCATACATATACATTAAATATTTTTCCTATAAATACGTTAACCTGTGTTACAATAGTTAAGCTTCTTCTTTTTTTACTGTGGATATGACGTACGTATTTATATCCGTGTTGGTGCGTTGAGAAGGTAGATAAATAATGAATGATGATTTGTTACGGATTGGCGTAAATGTAATGCATTTTGTTCCAACATTTAATACTCATGATTTCTTGTTTTTTTTTTTTTTTTTTTTTTTTTTGTAATGTTTAAAATATTAATTTATGTAAAGGCGTGGTCAGAGAGACGCAAATGTGTATTATAAATTAGGATCCCTCCTTTTTAAGCGATAATGCGCATTCTATCTCAAATATATTTTTCGTACCAAAGAAAGCTCTATAGATGTGAATAAATCGTTATTGCGCACGTAGAAGACTAGATAGCACTCGACATAATCATTCATTATATAACAATTAGAAATAAAAATATATTCGTAATTACTGACCGCGTCTGAAAAATGATCTTTCGTCAACGGTAATATATCCGGTTATTATTTGTTGCCGAATTTACTTTTGATACGATCAGCTTTTGTACTCGAGTAGCGGAAGAGTATAGTCTCATTTGGGAGATGATTGCGACTCTTCTCTTGTGAGCGCCAAATATTAAACATATTTTATTAAAATATATTTTATTGAATGTATTGTATATTGCGGAAATATTTTTTATCATCTGATTTGTATAAACGAACAAGCGCCTTCGATCCTCTTATTGCCACAAACATCTGTGCGATCAGCGATATTTATTATTGACTGTTTGTAAATTGTGGTGGTCTAACAAAGTTAGAATTATACAGCCGCATGTAAAGATCGGAAATTTGCTCAGGCAATAAAGGGATTGAACTCGAAATTGAAAAACATTTAAAAATATCGTTTGTCTAGAATTTTTACATTAGTAAAATATATCGACTAAAAATATGTGTTGTTAGGAATATTGTTTGAATTCGCGATACTTTCAACGCCCATATAAATAAGGAATGTTCTTAGTGTTGATTTTGAATTATCAGGACGACGCTCCACCGGCGCTCATATTTTTCTTCGTCCCGTTCTTAGACTGCTACACTTGAGAGTTTTACTGGCGGTCGGTCGACTCTCGAAAAGTTCAATTGTCAAACGAATATCTATTAAAAGTCATTCTTTGGATTCTATGACAGTTGGTAGATTATTACTGTTGAGAGTCGCTTCCGAGGGATAAAGCTCTCTAGTGTACAACCTAGCTTCGATTTTCTGTCGCGTTTGTCGTTCATCGTAACACTGCCAATATAATATTCCTTCTTCATTAATCTTTTACAATCTGCTTCGTCTTCGACCCCGAGACGACAGCCGGGGAGCACTTCCCCGCGCCGATCGATCTCTGCGACTGATAACATCGTGCGAATCATCGATATTCCGCAATCTCTTCTTATCTATCTCTTTCCAACGAAAATCGCGCACCAGTGTTGTTCGCGATCGCGACGGGATCGATGTTGTTCATCGCTCGCGAAAGACTCTCTCAGAAGGCTTAAGTAATATAAAAGTAGAATAGTTAGTACACTTCTGCACACATATTCACTTTTCTCACCTTCACTTACCTGACACACTTAGGAAAATTGCAAAAATCTTCTATCAATAGTTTTCCGCTAAGAGAAAAGTTCCAAATACGATGAAGAACCTGTCATGTACATATATATGGTACATAAAATTTATATGCATGCGTGCAAGATGAGGAACGGTTTTTCGATTAAATGAGTGAAGGCATATTGTATAAACGTCAGTATATTTCTCCGAATATTAGACTATATTCGGAGACATAGTAGAATAAAATAGTGAATTGTGTAATAGAATTATATTAGAACTAAATTTATGAAAGATAACTAGAGCAAAATTTGTGCAGATCGGCTGGATTACCTGATTAGCCTACTTGTGTACTATTTGTCTAATAAGATAAAGATAAGCGAAAGGGCGAATGAACGTCGCGAAAGTCCCGTCGCGGTCCATCGAGTCTCTTCGATTTTCTTTTCTCGATAGAGGAAAAAAAAATGACCGGAGGGATCTCCTTCTCCGCGAAGAATTCAAAGAGCATTCAGTCATAGTCTTTCTTAATAGGCGAGGTCTCTAGATTCTTTAATCGTAAGAGATAGATTTTAGAATTGGAAGCAATGATGTGAAATATATCCGTTTCTATGGATCACTCGAGTCACCGATCTTAGCTGTTAAGAATTCTTAAGCGCCGGTATGTGAGACTCGGACAGAGAACGATAATGCTTAATACGAGCGCATACGAATCGGTAGACGCAACGTCAGGATGTGATCGAAGCTCGAATTTACAGAATAAGGGAGACTATCGGTTTCTCACACCGACCGGGAACATAGATGGACGTATAAGAATACTTAATAATCGATAAGTAGATAAGTACATGCGATATATATATATATAAATATATATAAATATATATATTATATATATATTATACATAGCTTGCAACAATTTTTCTAGGACACAATCGGAAATATTTATTTTTATTCGAGCGTAAGCGTAAAACAAACTATTTGATAAAAGTCTGTAAGCCAGCGGAATAAGTGATGCAACAATTCCAATCTCTCGGCGCAAGTCTTACGAGCATTTTTGAGAAACGAATAGTGGAAACACAAAGATAAACGCATGTTTGTGCGACGCGTATACGCAGTGTAAGTCTGAGACTACCAACTCTTATTGATACTGTCATTAAAAAGAGCGAGATGTCTTAAGTGTCGAAACGATTTCGGATCATTCGGAAATTTGTATTGTGACATTAAATTATTTGCGTTATGTTGCAATGCGGCGATTTTTGGATGTTGTCAAGAATGATTAAAATTGCTGTCGTATAACTTGTTATTTAGTTAGAAACTTATTTTCCGTTTTGGACACTTGACATCTTTCGCATACCGCCCGCTAAAGTCGCTCGAGCTTAATAACGATCGTTTTCATCTTATATGTAAGCTCATTATTTGTACATAACGACACATGACGCATGAAAAGAAACGTTTATTTCAAGAAGAGCAAAGGAGGAATGCTTCCGAAGCGATTTGTATCTTAAAAGCATTAATCCGCTCGTTTTCAAAGAACGTACGAAAAGTTGGAAATGGTACTTTATTTTTCTTTTTGATTGAGTTATTTTATAATCGAATTGTTTTGTTTATTAACGTTATTATGAGCGTTTCTCGCTGTGTTTTATTTAGAAAATGCTTAGATCAACGACAGTTTCGAGAATTGGACTTCTTCGACTTGGCGCACTGTTAAATGTTAAAACTATTTCCTTAGTTTGACAAATGCGAATAATATCTTTGTTTTTTGCGACACCCCCGAAAAAGTTTTTATCCTTATTTCTTTATTTTTCATAAAATCAGAGCATGTGAAATAGAGAATCACTGAAGTTTTTCGATTGGAAAGATGTATTGCAAATGTAAAGTCATTTCTTAGGATTTATCACGCGAATGTTTTGCGTGGAGCACTTAAACGATTCGTTGTATGTACTTTAAAATTATCAATCAAGAATTGTAGAGCTTTCTGGTCATTTTACTAGTTGTCATTGCGGTCTCAACAAATTGGGACAGTGATTAAATTAGACAATTTTATATCGCTGATAGAACCGATCGAGATTTCGTATCGATTATTCATGCTGTGCACATGTGTCAAATTTTTATATTGTATTTTATATATTATATATAAATGTGCAAAATTTATATTTTATTTATAATATTTGAATTGTACAATTTATCTAAATTATATAAGATAGTATTTATTATATTTATATTAGAGAGGAAATTGCGTATCCTAGCTTAAGCTTCTCGAATACCAAGTATAATTCCTTAGCCTTATATAAATGCCACGAACACCAAGTATAACTTCTGACTTTATAACTCACTTTAATATTATATTTTATACTTTTTGAATTTGTTTAAACGTTTTAATGCGCGCATTAGGAGATACATTTAACACATGTGTGCACCATGCTATCGATATTTAGAACCCAGCGTGTGTACTAAATTTTCCTGAAGTGTTGTCGGAAGTTAAGCCGAGGAAACGATTGTGAGGAGAAGAAACACGGATGTATTTTGAGAAATTTTTGCGAATTATATGTGCATCGAGCAACACGTAAGAGCATAAGTGATTGTAAATCTGTACATGCACATACCGTATCATTCGATCATATATGCAGCTTTATCTAGTCTATAAAAAAAAATGAGCATGACTGCGAATGGATGGTTGTAATATCCGCGAGCTTTTTCTCGTGTATTTTATGAAATGTGATTTTCGAGTTTGCATATATCTCGAACAGGACGGCAGACTAAAAATCTTTTACTTCTCAAGATTATTTAAGATCATTCAATGGCTCTCGCTAATCAAATTCTTTGTCCGATATAGGATTACTCTCAACGAATATTCATTCCATTTTTGATTGATCCTTGACAATGAAATTCTTTGTCGGATATAGAATTACTTTGATCGAATGTGCATTTAAGGATTTTTAATGTCTGAGAAGAACTTTCCATAATGAACCTCAATTACATTTAAATTAAAATTGAAAAAATCTACATAAGCATTCTACTTTTGTCCCTTGTGAACAATGGGAATTAAGAGTAAAATATCTCTCGACAGACACTCTTTGTGATAAAATCCTCGAATGCGCAGCCGAAGTAAAAGATCATCTGCTCTTGACGTGCAATCAGAAACAGAATATATTTCAATTTCTTTGTCGCGTATGACTGCAAGAATAATTTTTAGAATTAACAATACATAAATGAACAGTGTAAAAGTAAGGCATTCTCTACTTTTTGCAGGATTTGTAAAATTTAATAATAATTTTATCCATAATGTGCAGTTTTTTGTGGAATGATAATTTTGTCTGTTATATATGAATTTTTTTGTTATATTTTTACATTCCGCAACGTACGTATCACATGTAACTCGAATAAAGATTAAATTTAACTTATTGCACTATCAATTTGCTCGTGAATGGTTATGACATTTGAAAATCGCGTGATATGCAAAGGATAAACGTTATTAAGAAGTCACAATAGTCAAGAGAATTAAGTATAATTGTCAAAAGAGAATGGCAAATGAGATTTTGCCTAGAAAATTCATCTTGACTAAAGTACGAAGAAGAGTATTGAAAGAGCGAAAAAAATAAATAAAAAAAAAACGAAGCAGAGAGAATGTGTATGCGTGTGTGTATACGTACGTGAGATTGTGAGCAAGAGACTTCAAATTATTCCCGTATTTTTGTGCTAGAAGTTAGCATGCGTAGAGAATGTACAATGAATGTCGCGTGAACGTGAACAGAAGAATGACACATATTGTATTATATTAAACGAAACAGATATTGTTTAAATAAAATTGATATACATAATCTCGATTGTGTACATGTATTACTCTCGCCATCAAAATGCGATACATTATCATTTCTGAAATTATAATTGCAATATCGTTGGGATAATACAAAATAATTTGTATAAATTTTATGGGATATAATGTTTATTTATTTATGCATTATTATCATTTCTCTCTTATAGGTTATAAAATGTGATATTATTTGATTTATGTTCTTTCTTTCATAATTATGCAAATTTTAATTATATAAATTCTGAATCATGCAATGTATAATAATTTACGTTATATTAATGCATAATATTTATACAATAATAAACATTTTATAATTATATTATTAGTCTTGCATTTGACTAGTACATTATTAGACTAATATATATTTGACTAATGTAGTTGGCGGGTTGAAGTAAAAATTTGAACAATAATTACCAATTTTGTATATATTTATACATTTTTAAAATTTTTATTCACAAAATATACTGTCATAGATTGATAGTTTAATTTGAGAGCACATAAGAGATCATATTTATATGCGTAAAGTTATCTGTGGGATTAAAATAACTAAATTTAGCTACAAATATTTTCAAAATAAGGTAGCGCGCGAATAGCAATGCGCATGCGCATTAATGCTACTTTACAATTTTTCACCGCATTACGGCCTTTCCCGCGTCGCGTCGCATCGTATCACAACGGAAACGTGCTGGCTCCGCAGTTTTTGCAATATTTGATTATTAAAATAGATTCACGCGTGTAAACAATGATCGGGAGTGGCGTAGAAAGTATCGGACGATTGTTGAAAAGTATCAGTTATCAAATGCGATCATTATTTTTTGTGTTTTCGAGTTTGCGTTTTTCGTGTGGTTGGAGACGATGTAACTTTAACCTACATGTGGCGCTGAGACGGCGATTGGCGAAGCTGTATAATTCGGTAAGTGAATTTATTCATCATTTTCATTCGAAAAGTATTTATTATTTATGTCTATTTTCGAAGAATATGTACATATGCTTTTTTAGTCATAACTTAACTTTGCTGCTTGTCGAGCGCAATTTAATGAGAAACACGACTACGCCTATTGATATTTTTTAAGTTATCTAATATTTTTCATGCTTGATTGCTGTGAAATTTATAAAACATTGAATTTTTTGAAGCACAATTTTATTCTATCATAATAATATTACACATAATCTGGGAAAAGTGCATTACAACATTTTTAATTATTGCTATAAATATATATTAATAATGCTATAAAATATCAACTAAAAAAGTAAATTCATGATTTATTTTATCTTATTTTTTATTTAATTTTTTTAAGACGTACATGTAATTAAAATAATAAACGATAAGATATGTAAATAATTTATAAAAATTTGTAAAAACCACATTTTAATTGAAAAAATGAGTTTAGCGCAAAACAAAGATATCTTTAGGTTTTATAGCTCTCTCCGGTTAAGATTTTATTAAATTTTTTTTTATTTGGAAAATGAGAGAAAAGAAAGTATTTCAGCACTTGTATTACTCTCATGCGACACTTGTGTTTCTGAAGCCGCGAAATCTTGTCCTATAGTCTCGTTTGCTAAATCTAGCTATAGCTAGCTTCATTCAGCTGATGGCAACTGAATGCATTTCCTTTACGAGCGCAACTGCTCAAATACAAGATGCCCTGAGACGTTCGTTTGTCGAGCAAATACGAGCTGCCAGTTGTCGAGTTATCGAAGGATCAAACCGTAATCCTTCGCGCTCAACAATTTCCAACAGATTCTCGCGCGATATTGCGTGCTACGCCACCCTCTGCGAAGCGCGGCGTGCGATTTTGTCTAATCGTCGGTATAAATACACGGTATCCTCCTACAATCTCTCGTGTTACGTTATCGATTAGATTACGAGTAAACGCATCATTAAACCGTAGAAGCTCTAATAGAGGTAAGATGAGCTTACAGTCGAGGTAAAAGATGTCAGGATGTTAACGAGACGCATGATAATAGACTCATAATAAGTGTGATAGATGACAGATATACTAATCAGATTTTTAATAAAAAGATATATGAGAATATTTCCAAAAAAAGAATTTAAGAAAATGAGTAGTTTATATGTGAATTGGGAGAAATAATGAATTTTATTTTTAATCAGAAATGAACTAGAAACTAATACAGTCTGATAGCTTTTGTTTTCTATCTTTGAAACAATTAGAATATATGCATTTTTATGTTTTATATGGTTTTCTTTTTTTAAAATCACTTTTTACTATAAAAATATTTATTACATATATCGCATTTGAATCATATGCTTCTGATCTGATCAAACAGAAGTAAAACTAATTTTTGTTGAGCTTTTGCGTTACTCGAATAAAACTTATAATTAAAATTGATATTTGTGTAAATAAATAAATAATTATTTTATTTAAAAGTATTCTGATTTAAAACTTAAAAATTAAATATAAAATGTAAAGTCAAAAATATTCAGCAGGTGTTTTTTTATATGCATATCTATTTTACACATATTCTTATTATATAATATTAAAAGCAAGTTTACATAAATTGGTTTTAATTACACCGAATCATCTGATTAGCGTTGCATGAATTTAAAAACTGTAAGTACGTTTTCAGAAGCGCCAAGTCAATCTCTCGAGTGTCATAATAATTAAGTTAAGATAATACTAAAATTAATGTCAATCATAAAGAGTGACAGCGGGTTTGTTCAATTAATTTTAATTTTAAGCCCGCTAACTCGCCGCACGCTTGGTGGTAAATTAAGCAATCTATTTTTTAAACTTTGTTCCACTTTCTCAGTATAAAATTGGCAAGATCATTTAAGCAGCAATCGTGTAAACAATATTAATTACGTGAAGTTTAGCCAGAGTTTATCCTATCAATCAAACATCACAAAATCCTTATTTTACTATTAAATCTGATAAATTAAATAATTTTTTGTACTTGTTTTTTCCGTAATCACAAAGAAAATAGTCGAACAATTTGCAACAGAAACATTTTTTTATAAAATATCAAGTTTTTAATGAATAATTAATGTAACAAGAGTAACTGAAGAAATTAATTAGGTTTGAGAAAGCGAATGACGTTATGTTGCGAGTACACAACATTTTAACAAAGCGTTTTGATTTAAAGTCGCTAGCATCTGCCGGTTCCCAAAGCTTGACAAACGGATCCCACTGACAAACGATATATTTAATTGCTGCGCGATTCCGTACAAATGTCTTGGGACATCCTTACAGTACGTCTCCTGCAATTTCTGTCGTCTCTTAGAAAAGCTTTATCATATCTTATTTCTAAATTATTGTCTTAAATTTCACAAGGCATATTTCTAACATTTTGTTTAACAAGATAATAATCTGTGTAATTAAAATTTCTTAATTACTGTTACGTATCTGTAGATATCTTTTCATTATGAGATGAGCAAAAATCCTCTCTGAATATAATTAAATTAATAATCGCACCGTTACGAAATCTCTTTGCAATTCCCAGCACTTTCGTGTTATTACATAAATCAGGAAGTTAAAAAGATTTCATACTGATGAATCTCATTGTCAGAATTGCTGACTTAATTTATAGATTAATTTAAGTACGCGGCACGAAATATGTTAAGGATCTAAAAATAAATATACAAAACGTCTTAAACAATTATTGCTCTTATTATTTGAGATAATAATATTAAAAAATAAAATAGAAAGTTCTCATTTTATTTATATTATTTAAAATGTAAGCAAACAATTAATTTATAATTTAACAATTAAAGGAATGCATTTTCTCATTGTACTTATTATTGATTAAATTCTAAAACTAAAAATTTTAATTCAGAAGAAATGTGCTTGTCTTTGCTGATAATAATAATAGAATAATAAAACATAATAATAAAAAATAAGAATATATGCACAATTTAAAAACTTTTATTTTCGGACTAAATTTTGATTAAGTTAAAAATCATTAAATCATTTTTTAATTATTTGAACTAAAGTGCGATCGTAACAAGCGAATCTGTGAATTACCGAGATATCGGGGCCACATTTCACGGATCATGGAACATATTCATACCCCGTCAGTAAAGAGTTAATTGGATCACTAAGTGGGACTAGAAGGCATTTAACGATCCAGATTTTAATTGCCAAAGTTATTCAATTGCGTTCGCATTTAGGGACATATCTTCGCGGCCCAGGACAGTCGAGTAGCAATGTTGTATGATAATATCCGGCGACTTTAATATCTGCCAAGCCCGTCCTGAGGCGCGATATTGCTTGCCACTGTGTTTACGTAATATGCTATCGTCTTCGTTGCAGCAAACAGATGAGTTGCCGCACACGCGCGTAAATTTACGAAATGGTAGCAGCACGACTTCACGTTATTAGCGCGCGCTATTTAATTAGGAATGTTAATTAATAGAACAGTGATCCCGTTCGTTTTCTGCTGATCATGAATACTCTTTGACGTAGCAGCAGAAAATTTATGCGAAAATCGCGGAATATTTTCCACCTTATAATTTTTATCTTTCATGTTTTTTATCTGCATACATTTTTTATGTACTGCAAATTAACTTCAGAAGCGTTCAGAAACGTTTTAACGAATTATGAAAACAAAAGATCTTTTTTTAAATCGTCTGAAAGTTTTATCGGAAAATTATTGTTGAGATATATCCTAGTTTAAGTTTTTACAAAGAAATGAATATCTAATCTTTTGAAAGCGCTTGTAAGTCCAATTTTGAAACATTATAAATTTTAATGAGATGTGAATTTAAAACGCTGCGGAATATCGATTTTAACGACAGTTTCAAAAGCGCTGAATTTGAAAATAGATGAGATAAATATAATATTAACTAACTAGCTAGCATACGCAGTAATGCGGACTAGGTGGATGATACAAGCTAAAAACCGTGCGTGTTTTTACAATAATTTTTAATTATAAGATGACAAATAATAATAATTGATATGTATATATTTAAATAGAGAAATATTAAAATTATACATATTATAATATTTAACAAAGAAAAAACTGTTGTAAACCTATCGAGAGACACGG